TCCTCTGCTGTCAAGACCAGCGAAGTACCAAAGGGCACGTCGTCCTGGGCCGACTGGACTTCCACCCATCCTGCCGAAAGTAAGACGACTCTTTCAACAGTCAGCAAATCTCAGGAGTGGAATGACTGGCAGAAGAGCTCCCAGGCATCTTCCAAGCCTGTCGAAACTTCCTCTCAGTGGAACGACTGGGAGAAAAGTTCTCAGGTTCCTAAATCTGTTGAGACCCCGGCGCCACAACAATCTTCTCAAGGGTGGAATGATTGGCAAAAGTCGTCGTCCGAGGCACCTAAACCTGTCGAAACTTCCAAACCCGCCGTACCCGAACAGACTCAGAGCTGGAACGATTGGCAACAGTCGTCCGAGGCTCCCAAGCCCGCCGAGACTTCCAAGCCTGCTGCTCCTGAACAGTCTCAAGGATGGAATGACTGGCAACAGTCGTCCGAGGCTTCCAAGCCAGTTCTGACTCCCGCTCCAGAGCAGACCAAGCCATCAGCTCCGCAACAATCTCAAGGCTGGAATGACTGGCAGCAGACCTCCCAGGTTGACAAAGGCGTGGAGACAGCTGCTCCTCAAGGAGGCAGCAACTGGAACAATTGGCAGAAGGAATCCTGCGTCCCAACCACCATCACCGTGACCGTGACCGAGACTGCTCCAGCGGCAGCTGAGAAAACCACAGGATGGAACGACTGGAGCAAGGATAATGGACACAAGTCCTGGTAAACTCCTGATTCCCGCACGATTTGGATGGGAATGCATCAACGACGATCGGAGTATTGAACCTTCTGGCGTTATAATAACATTTGCATAGCACACGGGGCAAAATAGGAAAATAAAACATAATAAGCACAGTTGGTTTCAAGAGAACCAGTGAGTGTGCATGGGTCTATTATTCCCAAAGAGGCGGAGAAACGGAATTTGGGACTGCGAAAAAATACAGTGCCATCTATGAAATAGAGATAGTCACTCCTTCGACTAATGATAATGGTATTTATCTCACACAACTATTCTGCTTTTCATGTTCCCCCCCACCACCCCAAACATATCTCTACGTACCGATCTAAATCAACTTCGTGACAAGCTTTCCAGTATTGCCACCATCGAACAGCTTCAACCAAGTAGCAGGGATATCCTCGAACTTCGTGGGCACAACCTGCTCACTTCGGTCCGAGATCTTGAGCTTACCTTCCTGCAGCGCCTTGATGAAGATGCTGATGACCTCGCCAAAATGCGCGGCGTAGTCCAGCACGATGAAGCCGCGGATCGACAGGCGCATGGTCACGACTTGGAAATAATCTACCAGGTAAGAAGGAGAGGGTTAGTCATTTCCTTTGCTTTTCTGGGTGCCCCCAAATTTCAGTTCAGGGAAGGTAGAGTTCAGTATACACATACTTTTAAGAATCGTGGGTTCTTGGGCGTTGTAATTAGAAATAGCACCGCAGGCGATAGAGACGCCGCCCTGCTTGAGGCGGCCGAGCATGATATCAAGAGTTTGGCCCTAAAACACAATCGATTAAGACAAAGTTCTCAGCATACGAAGAGTCAACGATGCGGTGTTCGCTCCTCGTAAGCAGCGCTTCATTTATTGAGGCAAGAAAAGGGGTGAGGCGTAACTAAACTTACCCCTACGTTGTCGAAGTAGACATCCACGAACCCATCGGTGGCTTTGATGAGGTCTTGCTCGAATGTCTTGCTGCGATAGTTGATGCATTTGTCGGCGCCGAGGCTCTCCACCCAGCGGCATTTCTCGTCTGTGCCTGCGATGCCGATGACTTCGGATGCGCCGACGATCTAGTTATGGCCGATTGTTTTAGCACGCGACATTCCACAACATAGCGTATGTTTAGACCTGGCAGATTTGAAAGAAACTTAAAACCATGGGTTCAGACTCACATTCTTTGCGATCTGGACGACCATGCTTCCAGTCGCACCGGCAGCACCGGAGACAACAATTCGTTGGCCTTTCTTTGCTTCACCGATGACCACCAAGCCATAATAGGCCGTCAAACCAGGCCCGCCCAGCGCACCGAGGTAATGGGTAATGCTCAGGCCGTTAGGTAGTGGATTTCGGGCACTGGCATCGGCAGCGTTGACCACGACATATTCGCTCCATGGCAACGGAGCCTGGACGATGGTACCTTTAGGGATGCTTTCGGTGGTCGAGTCGACTACTTCGCCCAGGCCTCGAGCGCCCATGGGTGCCTTGAGTTGTACGGGAGGTACGTACATGCGGTCTGCAGGGATGGAGCCTTCGATACCGACTCGCTGTGCCGGGTCATTGGAGAGGAAAAGGGTCTTGACGAGGACTTGGTTGGGTTTGAGTTTGGGGATTTCTTGCTCGACGAGCTTGAAGGTAGCGTTTTCGTCGCCGCTGGCGAAGGTTGCAACACCCTTGGGATAATTTTGCAAGATCCATGTCTTGGTGGTGGTTGGGACCGAAGACATTTTGTGTTGCGGCTCTTTCTCAACGATGATGTCGACCTAGCTGGTGAGTAGAGTGGAAACGCCGGTCGCTTACTTGAACGTACTCGAGAGTCTTGATTCTCTCCTAACCCGGGGATTCTGGGGATACCAGATCTAATTTATGTATGATGGCTATACGCAATGGTGTCGATACGATCGGCTGGATCAACTCTCGAGTCGACCAATATCAGGCGACACTGGATATGAATGTTACCGACGGGGCCACTACCTTGAGCAAGTGTTTGGTCCAAGTGTTAGCAGCAGCGTGTTCCTAGATCAATACTGTGAAGGGAATCCGTTCCTCTATGTTTATCAACTTACACAGTTGTAGTTGTGGTAAGGAACAATATACTATACTGGCAGTTATATTGAGTTCGCAAACTCGTGGATTACCTATGTGGCGGAGAACCGAGGTTGATTCCGAGGTTCGTCAAAGCCGTGAAATTTACTGGTTGGTGGCTAATATCAGTGGATCAAGCGCCAGAGACTTTGGGAGTCAGAAAATACGGATGTGGGAGCAGGATAAGCAAGGCACTTGGAGATCATTTGTCATCAGATGCAGATGGTGCTTGGCGCTGAACGAGTATCAAATGCGCATTTCGATCGCTTGAGGCACCGAAAATGGGTGGCGAGGCTAACAGAGTCCACTTCTCATTGTTGTCGTGGAGGAGAGAACTGTTCCTCTGGGAGGGATCAAGGGTGCATGCATTTCCGGCACGCAGGAGCTGCCGCCGAATATGAAATGATTGTAAAGTGGAGAGAGTTCATCCCAGGAAGAGTTGTAAGCGAACGGCGTTCCCGGCGGGCAGAGGAGTGTGCTGATGCAAACGAAAAAAGCGAGGCAAAAAATGCCTGACATCAGCATAGAGTACGACTTGAATGATAAGTAGAAGTGGTAGATGGAGGCCTGGAAAACCGCCTAGGCGACTAAAGGTGCTGGAAGGTGGTGACTGGGATAGCTAAGCTATCGCTGCTGGACCTGGCGACAAAGCCATGATGGATTCAAACTGATTCACAGGTCGACGTATCCTGCTGGTTAAGCTGATGATAAGTACATCTTCCCTTGAGTGTCCTGTTCAATCTGCTTCTGCTGAGGAGAGCAGAGCTAAGCTCCCGTCAGAACAACTTCATCGTGTATAAATGGCCAAATACGCCCACCACTAGTGAGTCACTGTCGCCTGATTTTTGCTTTCAAAAAGCCATTGTTAGGGACGGCTCAACCATAGAGACCATCCCACTCTTCCTCATCGTCTTCAGGGGCGGCATTCTTCTTGATGCTTTCCAGATGCTTCTTCTTTCGATCTCTCTCACGTTGCGCCAAATCAACTCGATCAAGGGGGCATGTTCCATTCAGCAAAAGCCATGGCCGAATGCATTCCAGATCGAAGACGTGGCTTGTATGGCAAGGTAATCGTACCAGAAGCGGATGAGGGTCATCCACGAAATCATTTCCACAGATCGGGCAGTCTGCATCCTTTTTAACTTTTTTGATATTGACACGCTCTAATGCTGCAATATATTCTTCGTCAACACCTTTGACTTCCTGCGGTGGCCGCTCCGCCGAGCTCATGAGCGCTTCTATCATGTTGCCTAGCAAGTCTGAATCTGCGTTCTCATTGTCCCGCTGCATGGTTTGAAATGCTTCTGCCAGGGAACGAAATGCTGCTGAGACATCACTCGGAATTGGAACGGCATGCTCCCGTGTTCGGTTTTCTGGACGTTCGGGTCTGATCTCCGCAAGCAGACTGAGTATTGAAGACATATCGGGCCTTCGAGGAGGGCCCTGTGAGCGGTCGACCGTATCGGCAGCATGTTCACCTAAAAGCCTGGTCAGTGGATATCTCAAGTGATAACTGTTGCTTCTTACTTTCATAGCTTGCCATATTGAAGGTAGAAGGCAAGGTCAATTAGTAGATAGTGGGCAATAAAGATCATTTGGAGCAGAGCTGACTTGAAGCAGAGAAAACCCGGGCGAAGATCTAATTGTGAACGAGCAAGTGGTGGGCGGCAGGCACAACTTGATGGCGCGGCTCATGAAATGAAGTGGTCCTGTGCGGGCTACGGCTCTAATAATAGTCCGAAATGGTAATAGACAGATGATAGTCAGGGCGAGGCCAGGAGCGGGATTGTCAGAAGTAATAGACTGGGGAAGAGGAGGCCTACTGTCGTGGAGTAATGTTTCTGATATGGAATGTTGGTTGACTTGAAGGACTGAGAGGGCAGCAAGTGCACGTTCACGTGATCGAAGCGTACAGAGGAGACATAAAGGGAAGCCACAGCCACAGCCACAGTCCGACTAGCCACATTGGATCCTCAGCTACGGTTATCACAACTCTCCGCCGACTTCACTTCTCTCTTTCACTTGCTCGCATATTCACCATTCCCATTCCATTTCCAATTTATCGCGCGATCGAATGAACGCCCTCCTCAGAGGGTCGTCTCTCACCCACAGGGCGCTTCGTAATCTTGCTGGCCATTATGTCTCGTCCTCCAGATAGATGACCAGGTTAGAAACTAATCGCGCCCATGGAGGCTGACTGGGATGAGATTACACGGGTTGCCGTGCCTTCGTCCGGCCTGCACGCGATCCATGCACCGGCCAGTTCCATTGTTTTTGATGATCTACAGGAGCTTCTGTGGGTGGGAAACGATCAAGTAAGGCATCTTAGATGTTTCCTTGTCGCTCATACTAATCTATTCATTAGGGACGAGTCACATCGTTCTATGGGTTTGAGCTTCAAAGATATGTCTCAGTCAAGGCGCATCTTGGAGAGGGCCCGGTCAAACAGTTATTGGTTCACGAAAAAGGGATCCTTTCCATTTCCGCTTCAAGTGTTCATTTCGTAACCCGTAAAGGTCTGACCCAGTGGCACATTTCACATCACTTGATGACCGACTTACGATGCATGACTTTGACGGCAACAAACAATTTACTCCTGGTGGCAGGATGCCAGAGCACATTTTTCATCATTGATATTGACAAAGGCCAAATCGTTTCAGAGCATCCAGCCAAGGCAAGCTACACAATCATGAAGAAAAGCCGACACATCTGTGCTGCAACCGACGATGGCAATGTCCATGTTCTCAACCTTAGCAACTATGAGCTTTTGAAAACCTGGAAAGCTCATGCTACAGCGGTCAACGACATGGACGCCCGCAATGACTTCCTTGTTACCTGTGGGTTTTCTGTGAGACAGCTAGGGGTTCCAATCGTAGATCCACTGGCCAACGTCTACGACCTCAAAAATCTTACATCTCTTCCCCCAATTCCATTCCACCCAGGCGCTGCATATGTACGCTTGCATCCGAAACTACAAACAACCAGCTTCGTTGCGTCGCAAACAGGTCAGATGCAGGTTGTCGACCTCATGAACCCAGTTAACGTCATGCTCAAACAAGCCAATGTTCAGTTCATGTTGGGCATGGAAATAGCATCCTCCGGGGATGCTGTAGTGATTTCGGACACCAACGGCTTGATTTACCTTTGGGGCTCGCCAACGAAACTTCGGTTCAACAATCTCAGCAAGGAGACAGAATTTGCAGACCCAGCACCCCAGCAAATTCCGCATGTTGACTGGAACGACGCACCTTTAAATACCATTGGCATCCCCTATTACTCAGAGCCACTCTTGTCAGCCTGGCCAAGCCATATGACCTTTGATGTTGGCGCTCCACCCACTCCGGTCGACCCGGCACTGTTGTTCCATATGCAAACAGCAGAAATGGGCCATTACGCTCCTAATTTGAATCCCCGCAAACTTCTTCGCTACCAGGTGGAGGATACCCGTGCAGGGCACATGCCAACATCCATTGCGGCACCCAAGTTTCTCAGCGAGAAGGCAAAAGAGATCACGCCGACAGCAAATGGACGAAAGCTTTCAGATGCGGCAGAGTCCTTGGCCGGAATCTCCTTGAATGGGCGAGGACAAACAGATGAGGAACGCATGCTCAAGTACAGCAACGTGGAGATCAAGTACAGTCGGTTTGGGGTGGACGATTTCGACTTTCGCTACTACAACAAAACTCCCTATTCGGGATTGGAAACACATATAGCCAACTCGTTTGTTAATTCGATTTTACAACTGTACCGATTCATTCCCTTGATACGGAATGTCGCCATTCAACATGCAGCATCACCGTGTGTGGCCGCCAATTGCCTACTGTGTGAGTGTGGGTTCCTTTTCGACATGCTCGAAAAGGCCAGTGGCCAGAACTGCCAGGCAACCAATCTGCTCAGGGCGTTTGGTGCTTCCCGAGAAGCAGCAAACCTCAGTCTCTTTGAACATCTGTCTCTGACCAATGGTACACCACTGGCGACAACGATCCAATCAGTGAATCGATTCTTCCTGAAACAGATCTCACATGACTATCTGACCATGATACCCAAGCATGATGGTATAGATGAGATTCTTGCGAGCAATGCGTTCGAAGCCATTCGATGCATGTACTGTAACAATGAGACGACGAAGCCCGCGAGCACGTATGTGCATGACCTCATTTATCCGCAGCTTGATCCCAAACATGCTTTGAGAAATCCGATATTCAAGTTTGCATCAATATTAAAGACGACGATCGAACGGGAGGCCAAAAACAGGGGTTGGTGTAGTAGATGTCGACGATATCAACAACTCGCTATCCGTAAGACGGTTCGAAGACTCCCGTCGGTTTTGATGTTAAATTCAGCACTTGGCAACCACGCTAATATGCGTGGACTGTGGGAGACACCCGGCTTCTTGCCTTCGGAAATTGGCATCACCATTCAGGACAGGAATGTGTACTGTTTCGAAGGGACAGATCTTGCACTACACTTGCGCAACAAATCATCCAACATGGTGGTGTATGAACTGGTTGGGTTTGTGGCAGAGATCGACGCTAGCGAGAGACATCAACCTCACCTGGTGAGTATGGTGAATGTTGAAGTGTCGAACCCTGGGCCAGAGGTGGCGCCCAATCACAAGGTGTTTCCGAATTGGCATCTTTTCAACGATTTCTTGGTAACACCAGTTGATCCGCGAGAAGCATTGCATTTCAACAAAGGGTGGAAACTGCCCAGCGTTATTGCGTATCAAGTGAAGCATGCTCATGGCAAATTAGACCAGACATGGAAACAACAACTTGACACGACGCTACTTTATCAACACTACAGCATTAACGGGATTTACCCTAAGGGTGAGTGCAAATTGCTCACGCCGGACGAACATCCCCGCGAAGGAACCCCAATTGCGCTTGATACGGAATTTGTGGAATTGGAAAGGGCCGAGATCAACGTTAAAGCCGACGGATCACAAGAGACGATCCGGCCAGCGAAGAGTGGACTTGCACGAGTCAGTGTCCTTCGAGGGAATGGAGAGGCGGAAGGGATGCCATTTATTGATGACTATATCACGATTTTTGAACCGATTGTCGACTACAAGACACAGTATTCTGGGATCAAACCTGGCGACCTAGATGCGCAACTATCCACTCATAATCTTGTTCCGCTCAAAGTTGCTTACAAGAAATTATGGATTCTACTGAATCTGGGATGTGTTTTTGTTGGGCACGGACTTGCTTCTGATTTTCGGAAGGCAAATATTCACGTCCCCAAACCGCAGACGGTCGACACACAATACCTCTACCTGGCACCAGGCAAGAACCGACGATTTTCGCTGCGATACCTTGCTTGGGCGGTGTTTAAGGAATACATCCAGGAGGAGACATCTGACGACGCACAGGTTGACGGGCATGACAGTATTGAAGATGCTCGGATGGCCTGGAGGCTGTGGCGCAAGTTCCAGGAATACGAAGACGCCGGGATTGTGGAGCAGATGATCGAAGACATCTACCGCAAAGGGACCAAGTACGGATGGAAGCCTCCGCCAAGGAGTATCGGAGGGACCTTGCTACCGGATGGGATGGGCACTGGGGCTAACAGCGCGGTGCAGAGCGGGAGAAACACTCCGGACCTCAACTCATCAACGACGGCGTTGACTTTACCTACCTCGCCACCAACTTCGAGAATGATGGGTGGAAGTGGAGGCGGAAGTGGAGGCGGAAGTGGTGGGACATTCAAATTGAATGCTGCAGGGGTGGGCGCTTTTGTGCCGGGAAATGGAATTCTGAAAGAAAGTCCGCTGAGATGAAATGAAGGACAAAAAGGCGGCGAGTACTCTGTAGAAGCAGTGATGTGACAGGGTCTGTTTGGAACCAACGAAGCTGAAAGGTAGTGCGGAAAGGGTAGTGATTGGGAGTATCCGTTCGAGCAGTCGAGAACTAAACCAAATTCCAAAATCAACGTAAATGGGCTCTGTTATTCGAGCTTGTCTTGCCTAGAGTACGGCAATCTCGCGTGTAACCGCAGGCTCACCTGTCACTTGTTTCCATGCCCCAACAAGACTGGAATTGCATGTTTGTCAAAGAAGTACCTAGTAAAGTGACTTCTCAAAGTGACTTTGGTAGGCAGATTTGAGATAGGATGCCCGAAAGGTGAACATGAACATTACTGGTATGAGGTAGTTCTGGTTCAAATGCCGAACGAGGCAGAGGTGTAGAAAAGACGGGCTTTTCAATCTCTCGTTATTATCCTTCACATCGTAAATTGTAGCTAGATATGGGATTTGAACTGATCTCGGTACTCGTATGACGCTGCCAGGAACGGCGTAGGGCACAATTGGATGATGGACGGAGCGGAGGTGGTAGAGTAGTGCTGCTTGCACTGTACTCCGTACAGTACGGAGTACAAGTGCACGTGCCTGGGGAGTACATACAAGTATGTACAGTACTCGTCTGGCGGTCGCAGGTGTGGCTTACGAGTAGGCCTAGTTTCCAGCACTTCTACGCGAGCGGGCCCCCGGTCTCGATCCTCTGGCAGCCTCCCGCATTTGGTCAAACGCGTCGGAGAACGAGCTGGGCTTATCCGTTGGGGCCTATTTTTGGGAAAAGGCCCCTGGCAACCCCCTGTAAGCAACTTCTAGTTAAGCCAGTCGGTGTGGGGGAGTCTCTGGCTCAGCCTCGACCTTGGGCCCCCTCGCGCGTGGCGGGGACTTGGCCTGCGCCAGGCAAAAGACCATCCGCCAACCAGTCGGCCGCTGTGCCCTGCATTTGGGTTTCATATTTGTCCTGCCTCGCCCACTTTGCTTGCGCACGCACGCACGCAACCACTTCTTAACTCGTCGCTCTGCACGTTCATTTTTGCACATTTGACTCGACTCTTTCGTCTGGTGCATGCCTCGTCGTCTGCATCTGCGTCTGTGTCTGTGTCTTCCTGGTCATTTGCGTTGATTACTGCTGCAGTGGCACAAAGATCGATTCAGAGTTCAGAGTAACTGGGATCCACATCTCCCTCACCTCCTTGCAATCCCAAAACCTCTCACATCTGCTGTCGCATCCTGCCAGCCAACCAACCCACCCCCTACGCACCGAGCACCCCGCGAGGCTGCCCCATAATCCACTGCCCTACGAATACAGAGTACGTACACGTACTCCGTACCCAGGACTCAGGAGGACGTACGCTCGAGCCCCGCCCAACCACCACTGTTTCACAAGGCAACACCAGCACTCTCCCTACGGAGTACACACTCTCTCGGTCACTTAATCGGCGTGCTGTTCCTCTTTCTTCGATGATGGCAAAAGTCAAGAGCAGACCTCAGGCATATTCAGCCATGTCTTTTCACCTCGTCCGGGCCATCGCATTCATTTCACAGGCCATCGTCTCTGGCATTCTGATCTTCTTCTGCATTCAATTGAGGAAAGATGGGTTCAAATTGCCCTGGACGTTCATCATCGTGAGTGGCCTCTCCCATTCTACACCCACGCCTCATCGGACTAACACAAACAAACCCACAGGTACTAGCAGCCTCGCTCCTCAGCATCATCTCAATATTAATCACCACAATATTCTACGTCTGCTCCTTCCTCTCGCCCTTATTCAACCTAATCGTCAACGTCACCGTGCTGATCATCCAATTCGTGGGCTTCGTGCTCCTCTCCTGGAACATGTCGGGCACGCTGTCCCACTCCTGCAGCGCCTCGAACTGGGCCTCCAACGACGGCATGATGGTGTGCCGGATCTACAAGGCCTTCTACTCGTTCGTCATCTTCACCCTGCTCGCTCAAATCGCCCAGATCGTCCTCGACGCTCGCAGCCGCAGTGCCCAGACCCAACTCGGGCGTTATGGCAATATCGAGAGCAACAAAGACCTGAAGCTGGATGATTTGAGCAAGGCGAAGCAGCAACAGTATCAGTCAGCCGGGGGACATTCGGCACAGCCGAGCCACGCGAGTTCCGACGATGTGCCCTACAGCGTGCATGATTATCGTGACCAGCCTACCCGGCCGACCTACCAAGCGTACCAGCCTCCTGCTAGCGGGGAGAGTGCCAGCTATTATGGTTCCGGCGGTGGTGCGAGTAATCCGCAAGTGAGGATGAATGATTTCAATAATGTCTTCGGCTCTGGCCAGCGTCCGGACGGCGCGGCTTATGGGAGCGGTGGATATGGATATCAAGGAAGATGATGGGAAACCCAGGCCATCACTATGTCATTCCTAGGCTAGGAGTTTGATGTTTGTAACAAGCATAGCGAAGGCGTCGAAATTTGTTAGCTCCTGAGGGAGAATGCCGTGAGCATATCAGAAATGTCAAAGGCCTTTTTTGTAAGACATTCATGTGGTATTATGATAAAACAGAGACTTCAAAAGGTTTAAGGACAATGCATATAAGGGCTTCGGCTTTGGATCAACAAAAATTCGTCTGTCTATCTATATCAAAGTGAGCTTCAAGTCAAAGTGTCGAGTATTTGGGTATCTAAAAGAACGACAGGGACGATCCCCTAACAACTAACTCCCAAACGCCTAGATAGACCGCGTCCAAATTCAATGGTGATGACGAGCATTCATACATACATACATTCCTTCCATCCATCTCTCTCCCGTAGTCCCTCCCGCAACGTACTCATTCCCTGCAAACTGATCTTGGTCGGTCTGCCTACCTTATCGATCACACTCTCCCTCTTCACCAGTTATGCTTAATCTCGAACATCAACTCCGCCAACCTCTTTACATCCCGACTGTCCACCTTTCGAATCTCTTCTTTGATCTGTTCCAGCAACTCCTCACTCAACCCGCCCTTCCGTCTTGCGTAGATATCCACGCCCGCGGGCGTGAACAGCGTCTTTGCGAAATACGTGACCGCCCAGCCGCCATCTTCCTCACCGTACCCCAGCACCTGCCAATGGCTTGACGCGATTTTTAGGAGACCTCTTCCACGCCAGCTGTACGCCGCGACCGTCTCGGCGTCAGGCGTGTCGACACCCTCGACGCGTTTGCGTTTGTCTGAGTTGAGGGGCTGGTATTCGACGAGGTCGTCGAGGACTTCGGCGTTGTTTTCGAGCGATTTGTAGGTTATGGTGACGTTGCGGTTGGTCTTCCACATGGGGAGCGTGGAGTGGGTCACGTGCCACTTCCCCTGGAGGAAGGAGACGTTGGGAGGCGTGAAGTCGTCGGGTGAGTATTTCACTTTCGAGTGCGAGGGCGCGCGGAAGTTGAGGCCTGTTCGTTCTATGGCCGCGTTGTGGGGGCCATGGTAGTGGCTGGGTTGAGGTGAACTGTTCGAAGTAGCAGTCGTAGCAGTTGTAGTCGTAGTGCTGGCCATTTTTGCAAATATGTCCTTTGGTCTTTCCCCAGTTGGTTGTGGAGTGCACGCGATCAGGTCTTCGAACTCGTGAGGTGAGCGTTGAGAACTGCTTCGATGAACGGACAAGAAGAGGGGAAGATTTGGTCGGGTCTTTGAACGAGCGGAGAGAAGAAGAAGAAGAAAGCCAGATCGAATAAACAGAGGCTGTTCACCATTAAAATGCAGGTTCGTTGTTGACAACACTCATCCACACAAAGCAAGAATCCGATTCGGGGTCCTGGAACTTTACCCGCCAGAGCGACGTCAGAAATGCCTGGCAAAGCCTGGGCTTTCATAACACTGGAGGGTTCATTTGGCGCCACGGCCGCGAGGCCCCGATGGTCCCCAGCCTTGCTTTAAGCGTACGACTTCTCCGGAATGGAGGAGAGTCAAACACGTTGGGCTGCAGGATTGACATCACGTGCTTGGCCTTGGGACTTTTTCGGCTGCTCACGTGTTTGTGTTGCTTATCTGAGTGATCGGGGACTGACTCTAGAACAACAAGTTCGATGTTTCTCACTCCAATGTGCCTGTGGTTGATGAAATCAAGATTCACGAGACATCCTTGTGATCGATCCGAAGATGGATAGAGCATTGCCATACACACGTATGGGTGCCTCTTCCTCTATTCAAGGTTTGGAACATTGTTTAGTCGTGTTAAGGGCGAGACCAGCTCCGCGCTGACTGATGACTGGTGCCTGATGACTATCGATATTCTGCTGGACTTGCAGCCTGATGTCCGAGTCTTCACGAGGAGTTTGTGCACAATCGCCAAATGATTCGGGTCTTGTGATCTCATACAATCGATCCGTAGACTCAACCTTTCGTTTGCTTGTCCAGTACGGAGTACGGAGTACGGTATGTGCTACAGGTGAGCTCCCATGGAGGAGATCTGGGTGCCATCAGCCAATATCTGACGCCTATGCCCACTGAGATCCGCCCCTAACAGAATGATGATTGCTACACCCCCAGGTGACGACCGCCCGGACCCAGCCACCTATTGGACACCCATCGCGGGCAGAAGCATGAGGGGTAGGCCTAAACGACGCCCCTAGACCTCAATCAGCAAAATATTCCAGACACCATCCGGCCCGATCTCCTATCTGTTCGTCGACGGCATGGCAGAGAAATCGAGAGATAAGCCACATTGTCACATCTGTGAGTCTCTGATCCCGAATGTGGCATGATACCTGCCATCTTCAGGTCTCAGGTCAACCAAAAAGACAGCACTTGCCCTGTTCGTTCTATGGCAGGAACGAGCCCTATACACTCAGTTGCTTTGCCTTCCAATAACGGTCAGGAACCTGCCAGTCTCACTTCCTCCTCAACGGCTCTGCAAGCAGACGCGTCGACAGGATTGCTTCCGATCGCCCCCAGTGGCGACAATGTGGGGGACGACGAACCCTCCAAACCAAAGCAAACCAAGAGTCGCGATGGTATCTACCCACATCATGGGGTTATTTTTTCACGTTGAACCTTGGCTAATGTATCGTCCTTCAAGGTTGTTTAACATGCAAATCAAGGAGAAGGAAATGCGATGAAACAAAACCCGCCTGTCATCAATGTGTTCGTCGCAATATCCAATGCGGAGGTTACTCAAAACTTCTCAGATGGAAACCCATCAAGAAGGTGAAAACCTCGCACGGTACATTCCTTGGTGAGTGCAATTCCCTTCCAATACTGGAAGGGAAAGGTGGCCTTGCCACGTCGTACACGATCTAGACTAACAATAGTGTTAAAGCGGTACATCAGTTCATGCCTTCTTCACAGCATTTGGTTGATCATGCTATCATCCATAGTACTGACGATGACAATCTCTTACAACAAAATACAAGGATATACCGAACAAGGCCCTCCCTCGGAGCCAGGATTACGTCTCCCAGTGTATTCCCTGCTTCTTCTGCCTCCCCGGGGGATCAGCCTTGGACAACATCTCCGATAGCGTCTACTACACCTAGTCACCATTCGAATGTCCATGATAGGCTCAACGACTATGATTTCGATATTCTGGATCCTCAACTCACAGCTGATGATTTCATGAACCTAAATGAGCCCGTTGACTTAGATGATCTTGGTCTTCTCTTGCCATCAGCCGACTTAAATGTGGCATCCACTTCTGGTCGTTCCCCCCAGATGGATATCTCAGAATCGTCAGCCCATGAGGTATTAGCGAAGACATTCCCGGGCTTCGATTGGCTTGCAGGTGACGAGGCCATGGAGGTAGACTGGGCTGAAGGCGTTAGCGAACTCAATACGATGAATAGTGCACTGCAGAACACCCACTCACCACCGTCCACTCAAATTCTTATCGAGCAATTACCTGCGACATTATCACCACCTAATTCATGGCCAAATGAGCCTTTTCTACATTGGGATCAACAGTCCACGCCTAAAAGACTTCCACAAGCCACAATACGAGAACTCTTTGAACTTCGTACTTGCGAAATCCTGTCAATCAAGGATGACCAGACTAGGAATCCGTGGAGGACGTTGATCTGGCCAATGGCTCAAGATTGTCCGGCACTGTATCACGCTCTCGCAGCAATGACCTGCCTACAACTGACTAAAACACAACCAGAATTTGGTCTTCCTGGTATTCGGCACTATGACCTTTGCATACAAGCACTATCAACAACTGAAGTCAACAACAGCATGTCGTTGGAGTCTGCCATTGCTACCAGACTGGCCCTAGGCTGGGCCGAATGCTGGGATAATCGAAAAACTTCAACTGGCATGAATCACATCAACAGTGCTCACAGGCTAATGCAGAAGGCAGTCTCTAAACATCAAGCCTCGAGTTTAACGGACGGGGAGCTCAGCCGTCTAAGTTTCCTGGCCAATACATGGATTTACATGGATGTCCTCGCCCGTTTTTCCTGCCTCCAGGATGGGGGACCTTTGGACTTTGATTTCATGAACACGTGCAGCCTTTTGAGTCCGGTCCCGCTTTCACGTCAAGTCGATCCACTCATGGGATGTGCCGTCACTCTATTTCCAATAATAGGACGGTTGGCAGATCTTGTCCGACATGTACGAAAAAGGAGCGAGAAGCGGAATTCGCTCGCCATCATATCCAAAGCTCTCGATATCAGATCAAGTATAGACCGCTGGGTCCCCCCAATAAGCACTGAACCCTCCAAGGGACATAACCACAACATATCAGACCCCATCCAAACAGCCGAAGCCTATCGGTGGGCAGCTCTCCTGTTGCTACGCCAAACAGTTCCTGAGCTGCCGTCGTCTTTCTCAATGTGGGATCTAGCTCAGAAGACACTGGTCTTTCTGGCCACTGTGCCGCCCGTCTCCGGCACGACCATTATCCAGATCTTCCCACTGCTAGTGGCCGGGTGCGAAGCTTATGGAGACGAGGATAGAGAATGGGTCCTCGACCGGTGGGATCTGATGTCCAAGCGCATGATCGCAGGGACAATTGACCGTTGCAAGGAAATGACCCTCGAGGTCTGGCGCAGGAGAGACGAATACGAGAATGCGAACTTCAAGAAAAACAGCAGTAACGCCGACGATGACGAAGACGAGTCCACAACCCCCGACGTCATCTACAATAATAGTCGCAAAGACCCAAACACGACCGTCGACGACACAACGACCATCGCTACGAGCACAGAGCCCGCCCTTAATCCAATTGTAACAACAACGACGACCAAAAAATCCCCCTCCGCCGCAGCTTCCGCCGCCTCCGCCGCCGCCGCAGCACGATCCGTCGACTCGAAAACGCCCACTGACTTCCCGCAATCCCTGGCCTTCAAGAAAGACATTGACCCCCTGACCATGTCAGGGAGTATCGACTACACGGTCAAGGGATCCATGCATTGGCTCGGAGTCATGCGTGATTGGGGTTGGGAAGGTACGTACCCTGATCGTCTATATGAATTAGCCAGCTATCAAGCGAAGAGCTGGCTCATTATGGTTGTTTGCTGCACGGCTCTCGCCCTATTTCTATAATTGGTTGGTGTTGGAGTTGTTGTCGGTTTTACCATCCTCACATCACTCGGTTATCAACCTCCTCTTTACAGGGAGATGTAAGGAACGAAATGTAAAAGTCGAGAAAGAGGGTGTGAGCTGTCTGTAAGGAAAATTGATGCTAACGGTGTTTCCAGTTATGCTAGGCTAGCTTGAACCATAAAACCACAACCCACAATCCACGAACCTCATCACAGAGCTCGCGCTCGAGCCGAAGGTATGATAGAGCCTTTGATTGTGGGAGCAGAGGAGGTTTCCCTCGACTTCCTCTCAATTCACGATTACGGACTCTTTCAAGCACCCGGTACAAAATGCGCCTTTGATGCATTAAGATGGCGGAAATGTGTAAAGTTAGCGGGGATTATGTTAGCCATGTTGTTGATCACCGAGAAGCAACAAACAGCAGTAACAGCAACGATATGGATTGGTGGTACATTTTATTGGCTTATCATATCGGTCTAGATTTATCCAAACAAAAATCCCGGCAAACACCATCTCCATGCATAAGGCTGAAGGCCAAGGGCTGAGAATCGTTGGATCGTGGACGAGCGAGTGTCCAAAATATCTCCCATTATACAGCACACCACGAATCAAGCATCGACCTTCTCGGTTTTTCTGTGCTTGATCCTCAAGAAAGTGAGAGTGGTGATCCAGATATCTTCCCAGAGGCCGAGCGGGGGATCGATGCTGGCCTCGTAGGCGTCGATGACCGGCTTATCCCAGACTAGATCGGCCTCCTCGGGCTTAACGAACTTGGTCCCCTTGACCAGCTTCCAGCCGCCGAAGAGCAGAATGCAGACGAAGATCATCGTATAGTAGGTGAAGAACGTGCCCACGGTCCACCAGCTGGGGATGAAGACTGTGTATCCCTGAATGAACATGATAATGGTCACCAAGACCACGCCGACGATATTGATATATGGTTGGAACCAGCCTGTGAATTTCTCATGTTAGCTTTTCTCTTCTTGAAGGGGAAGGGGAAGAGGCCATGGTGTATTGACATACCTCTATACGGCAAGGTCCTTCGATCGATGCCCTGAGCCTTCAAAGCGCGGTAGAAGAAGACATAGGTGGTGCCCATGACGACGTAGTTGAGGAGCTGGGAGGCGGTGACCAAGTTGACGAGCCAGCGTATCGCCTGGGCGGAACCGCTGCTGACCTGGAGGAAGCTCAAGAAGGGGAACACCATGGTGACACAGAAGCACCAGTGGGGAATGCCTTTCTTGGTGGTTGCGCGCAGGAACTTGGGAGCGTGGCCTTCAAGCGCAAGACTGTACAAGGATCGAGTCGCCATGAAGCAGTACGTGTTTCCAGCTGAGAAGATGCTGGTCACCAGTAGTGCATTGACGAGATGCGGCAAGCCGCCGATTCCCATGTTCTGCATTGCGATGATATACGGTGAGGCGGCGCCGCTGCCAGTGCCTTCGTTGCTCAGCACATGGATTAGTGTCGGGTCGTTGTAAGGGATCACAATGCCGACGCAGAATGCTCCGAGGATGAAGAAGCATCCGAATCGCCAGTACACAGTCTTGAAGGCGGTCTTGATGGTTACACGAGGGTAAACCGCCTCACCAGCAACCATGGCGATATATTCGGGACCACAGACGGTCCAGGCAGCGACGAACAAGGCACCGAGGAAGCCTTCGAATTTGCCCAAAGAGCCCTTCGTGACATATTCAGCGAAAGCGCCAGGGTCACGCCAGTACCGGAAGCCGTAGGCGTCGCCTTGAGGATTACCACCGACCATGGTGATGAAGGTGAAGAAGAACAAGACGATGATGAGAATGATCTTGCCGGATGACAGCCAGAATTCTGCCTCTCCGTACCAGCGCACTGCGAAGACGTTGATGATGGCGTAGAGGAAGATCGACACGAGACAGACAGCCCATACGGGGATGTCATCTCTCCAAAACTTCAGGACAAGGTTGAGTGCGGAGATCTCGAAGGGAATCAGGATGGCTTCGTATAGGAAGAAATTCCAGCCCGCCATGAAGCCAAAGGCCTCGTCGACCCATTTCCCAGCATACCGGATGAAAGAACCAGACACCGGCATGTACACGACCATCTCAGCGATACCGCTGTTAATGGCGGCAATGATGGAGCTGAAGAACATGAAACCCAGCAAGAGAGAGCCAGGTCCTCCCTCGAGAAGACCCCAGCCGATGCTGACGAAGAGCGCTGTGCCAATCGAGCCACCGATTGCAATCCATTGGATTTGTCGGTTGTTCAGTGATCGATGCAGGCTGTCGACATTCTGTGCTGAGCCGAGATCTTCGTCACTGACGGTTGGTTGGAGGACCGCGACATCCTTGAACTCCTTGGAGCTCTGTTCCATCTCTTTAGGCATATTGGCTTATGAGTGTCTTTCCAGTCTATTTCAAATGGAAGAAGATGAAGACAAGGCCGCATCAGCCAAATATTTTCTCCAGGAAGTGGATGCTGGTGGTCTTATATGCATACCGTGAGACCACGGGAACGGGCTCTCTCGCAACAGCAAGTATCTTGAGCTGGTGAGCAGTTCGGTTCTAGAACCTTGCCTTCCTGGGTATCGATCGAGTCCATCCACCCATGGCCAAGGCTTGAACTTTCCAATCAAGATACACGTACGGAGTACTCTGTACCAGTGTACCCGTGTGGAGGCAATTTTCCCAATTATCAGGTGCGTACCAAAAAGAGAGTTCCGTGCAGTCAGATAGCGAAATGCGGATCTTTCTGCCCAATGCGATTAGACCAGTCACTGCTTACTAGTAGTGTGACCCAAGAAAGAGGAGCCGTGGCAAGCATGCATGAAAAAGCGTGGCAGAGATAAGCATATCGCAGCACGCCAAGCGACTTGCCGTCCCTTCGCATTAATTGAGGCCAATTCCAGCTGGCTTGTTGGCCAGCCTTTCGCCATCTCCTTGCAAGCCGGTCGGAGGTCCCAGGTTTGTTATCTTGCTCCACTCAAGGCTCTCGCTATTGTGGAAAAGTACTGAGTGGAAGCAGGCGATATACAATTAATCTCAGGCCTGCAGCGATCCTTGTATTTTCCGTGGGATCAAGCTACTGCATTGCGTCTAGCGACTTGATCCGGTATGATAGCCACGGCCCGAGTGTAGCAAATAAGGCCGAGGCGAATTTGAGGTACACATTTGGGATGCGCACGGATAGTGTAGCCTATGCAAGGCAGTTGCCTCAAGCTTCAAGTTGGCTATGAGCTTTTCGGAGTCTTGGAAGCTGAGCCTAATCTGGTGGACTCGTCTTCTTCTACCGTTTGTCCATGCAGTCAGATAGGTCTAGAAGACGGCAATTTCAAATGTGCTACGGGCAGGCGCGGAACTGTGGATTGCTTCTGCTCGCCCGTGCCTTGGGCACGCTTTCAGCTGCCTTATTCGCAAGAGCATGCGAAGTCTGGATCTTCAGCGATTGGAGCGCCGAACCAACGTTTAGATCCGAAAGTTGGGGAGCTGGGAACAAATGAAACCACCCTATTGATCTTCTGCCTCGTTTAAGATTTTGAGTGGAGTCTGGGGTGTGGAGTGCGACCTAACTAACACTTAGTTACTGACGGGCGCCTGGGCCCAGGCTGTATCTGAGCTGGTGTCGGTGGCTGGGCTTGGAAGTTTTATGGCGTGCTTCACCAACCAGTGTGCGTTGAAGAAGGCAAATTCGATGAACAACAATACTCGGTATCCCATTGGACGGGCTAGTTGCAAGAGAATATGATCGCTGTACATATCGGCTAATGCTAATGATCGACCGATGAAAGCAGAAGGCGTAGCCTGGCAACATGAAGACTTGCTGACTTGCTGATTTGCTTGAAGTATTTGGTTACTCCGTACTCGGTATGTGGTCGGGCAACCATTTTCACAGGTCCACAGTCACCACCATCTCCGCGTTCGTACCTGCCATCCATTCTTCTTGTTGCTGCAGGAACTGCTTAATCTTCTTGATATCCGTCGGCCTGTTCTCGTGATGTGTTTCCTCGAGGTCGTGGAGCATGGCGCGAACACGGCCTTGTAGGACCTCCAGCCTGTATTTCGACCACTGGAAGTATAATTCTGAGGGCTCTGAGATGGGGCGAATGCTGGTGAGCACCGAAGTATCTCGAATCATGGGATCTCGAGGCCGGAAAGATGTGATCATGGTTATGCGTTCGCCACCTCCAACGGCAGCAAGAGCTTGATGTGAGATGCATCGACCTTGAAGAACGACGGCAGAGCCCTAGAGCAAGGTGAGGATTTAGGAGGTATGCAATCACGTGGAAGATGAGGATTTGGCAGGCGCGAGGCAACCGCGGACTGGGACCTGCCATATTGGGCATTGACAACGAAGGAGGCAGGAGTGACTTTGAAGTTGATGCGGTGGGGAAAGCGCGAACTTGACTTACCATTTGAGGGCCACGCACTTTGATGATCTCACCAGATCCATTCCTCAGAGCAGTCTCGCCTCCAACCATCTTCGATGCATCAGACATCATGACAACGCAGACAAATGGGTAACTATCATGGTGCCAGTTGGTGATCGGGATATCATCGTCCGACTGATTTGCAAGCTTTGCCTTGCCCTGTCCTTCATTTTGCACGGAGATGTTGAAATTGCCAATATCGTAGTCTATCATTGGTATAAGGTCAACGCCCGCGATGTCCGAGACGATTGACAGCGTTTTGGGATCATTCCACGCATCGTACATAAATGGTGCGTACCTGTCCTCGGAATGAGCCGTTGTTACCCAAAACAGGGCGAGCTGCCGGTCTCAGCAAAGAGCCGACCACGATGGATGCTCACTTTGGACAATGTCCTCTGATTTGACAGCTGGCGAACGCCGTACTATGCAAGCAGTTATCCCACACCTCCTTCGTGAAGACCTCTCCCCTCATGATGCGAACAGCGTCCTCTGTAAAAAGGGAAAATGGCTCAGATACTGCGCTAGGTGAGATGCCTACATCTTCTGGAAGGCCAAGGTCTTTCATCGATATTACTTTGGGACGGTCGGTGTAAGCAAGATGCTTCGCTGCGTCGAATGCCACAGCCGTCATTGTGCTTGAATCAGCCAACGCGTCTCCGATGATTGGCTTGATGTTCAACACCGTCATGGGGGGAACCGTTTCTATTGCTCCCATGGCTGATCGCCGCTGTGGAGGTATTTGCAGGGTGTTCCAGTGTTCGTTGTGCTTTGAAGGCCTTGAAGGCCTTGAACTTATTGAGGTGTTATCGTAATACGAAAGAAGATCAGTTATCGGAACCTATGTGCCTTGAAAGGCATGATGAAAAGCTACAGATATCCTTCTTCTTGAGGGACAACCTCCACCAGCCTCTATGAATATATCACTGCTCCACGATATCGCCGAGTGCGGTCAATTGAATACTACATTCAAGTCGGTCAGCAAGAATCATGGCTTGTTTTCTTTTTGGAAACCAAAGCTTCGCGGCTTCACCTTCGTCAGATTGTTATCGTCCATCATGTGAAGCAAGATATGAACAAGTTGAGGCCGAATGAGGAAATTAAAACCCCTCGAATCAATCCCCACTCTCGGATTGGTTGCCTTGAGTCCATAAGTCTATGATTGGTATAGTTTGCATCCAAGGTGGATATCGTTGTAGCAGAAGCATGCGTTGTGGACGATAAAGGAAGAAGGTATGAGAGCACTGGGGTCTTCAAAGACCGCTTGTGGGTGCCACCCGCCCACCCAGCGGGATACCAGCCACCCAGCCGTGCCAGCCAGTACTTGCTGTGATTATGTAATAACCCAGGCGATGACACCGATAGGGCTCTTCAACGTCAACGTCGAGACTACGCCTTGTTGATAGGGGATAGACCGCATCCAATCCCTAAGAGATCCGTCAGTTGATGTAAAGCATATTTTGGATTACATACAAGGTCTTAAGTCCTTCCCACCGAAGTCTGCCCCAGCAGGATTTGAAGCCAAGTATTCACCAAAGCCAAACGACCACAACTCGGGCCCACGCACGCTGCCACAAGATGGGCATGAAAATGTATGGCCCTCCAGCGCCAATAGACCCCTCATACATACCATCCACATCCATCGCAACATTACCCGCGACCGCGCCCATCGAAGAGATCCTCAGCATCATCGAGCGCGACGGCGGCCTGATCCTAACGGACTTCGCCACCCCGGCCCAGCTTTCCGCCATCGACGACGAGGTAGAGGCCTACAGATTGCTCACCAGAACCACGGAAAAGAGCGCGCTCGCGATCATCCCGAAGGAAACACTCGCAATCCCGGGGCTCGTAGGCAAATCTGCTACACTCGCCCAAATCTGCGAATCGTCGCCAGTCCTGGAGGACTTGCGAACGCATATCCTGCAGGACAAGTACACCGTGATCCGCGAGGAGGTGATCGAGGAGCACACGATCGACCCGCTGTTGAGCATCAGCCTGACCTTCCACATTGGGCCGGGCGCGCCGCGCCAGACGCTGCATCGCGACGACAATGTGCACGGGATCAAGCACAGCGGGCCGACGGCGTTTGAGCTGCACAAGGCCAGCCAGTTCGCGTGCTTGATCGCGGCGTCGAGGACGACGCGCGAGAACGGCGCCACCATGTTTATCCCGGGCTCGCACAAGTGGGATGACACGCGGAGGCCGCGGACTGACGAGCTCTGCTTTGCTGGTACGTTCTGGCCCATCCGGTCCTTAACCCTGACCCCATCCATCCCCGTGACCCCCAAAAGCCTTCTGCGCTGCCGTCTCCTTACTTAAGACAATTCGTCCTGTGTACCTAGAAATGCAGCCCGGCTCAGCGCTGATCTTCCTGGCCTCGTGCTATCACGGCGGCGGGCACAATTCCACCGCAAGCGAAGTGCGCAAGGTCCACGGCCTCTTCTTCGTCCGCGGCACCTTGCGCACCGAGGAGAATCAGTTCCTCGCCATTCCGCGGAGCAAGGTCTTGACCATGAGTGATAAGATGCTTTCGCTTCTCGGCTATAAGAAACCTACGTCGGTGCTGGGCATCGTCGAGAATGAGGATCCCGCGTTGAACCTGGGATCGGTGCTGGAGAAGGCGGGTCAATGAATAGATGAGTTGGCATTGGTATGGAGGAATTGGAAGGTTGGCAATAAGGGGTCGAATCCAGAGCAGCACTATGACGCGTTCTGATGAGTCTTTATTGCGCTTGTTTGTTCGTGTGATGTAGTCTGAAGAATTGTCAACTTCGAAAAAAATACACCGTGCGAGTAGCACTCTGAAGGTCCCTCCATTGCGAACAAGCGTTTTGGCGATTGTATTCGCAGGGCTGATACTGGTCTTATTAGGTGGGCTGGATCACCCCAAACAGCGGCCTAAAACACATGACATGTCCAGGGCGTTGCCGCGTACAGTGGCTGCCATTCGAAATCCTATCTATTTGTAGAGTCATCGTGACATGCGAGCTTGCATCCACATTCATTCGTCGTCGTCTTCATCATCATCATCATCCTCAGCGTCAATGTCCAAGACCCTGCCTCTGCTTGCAATACCCCTCGGAGTATCACTGGTTGAGAGTTGTGTCTGCGGCACCATTGAATTCCTCTTTTCGGCTTTAACGCTCTTGAAACTGCGCCTCGCTGAGGTTGGAGGGCTGGAGCCAACTCCGACGGGTCGCCGCTGGGTGCCTCTTACCACATCATCTAGTCCGTCCTCATCGCTTCCATCGACGTCACTCGTAGCTGCTTCCGCCCTTTCTTTCGCAGCCAAATGCCGCTGTACCCGACGCTGAAGGGCTGGGTTTGGTTTCAGATCGCCTTTCCTGAGCGGAACACTACATTCCGGGCATTTGACCTGCTTTTCCTGCTGCGCTGCCAGTTCTTGCCTCTTTCTGTCCTTTTCACGCTGCTTGCGGAGTTGGTTGATTTCGGCTAGTTGTTCAGTATTGAATGGAACATGATCCGAGCTGGTGCGTAGCATATCGAGGATTGCATCTCGTTCGTAACTGTGGTTACAATTTGCCGAGGTGACGGGATTCTGGTATGGAAGTAAAGTTATAGGACATTTCAACCGGACTTTTTCCGCAGCGATTTCCAAATCTGAGTCGGAGTCACCATCTTCACCGGCGTGTGGAGCACGCTGGGATGCAATTTCGAATTCACGCCCCTCTTCTGCAGCAAACCAAAGGCTACCGTCTGGCATTGGTGGTGCAGACTCTCCAGGATTATTCGCATCGTACCATATTCGCTTCCAGCCTCTGTACTCGTTGTTTGATGCGTACCTCTCAGTTAAAGACTTAGACTGCCAGTCGCGAGATTGGTCTTGGAGGCGAGATTGTAGGACAACATGAGGCGTCACTCTCTGGTTGGAATGAGAGGTATCGAGAGAGTCGATTGCGTTGTGCTCAGGGTCCCCGTCACTGTTTCCCATTCGAGATCGATCCTCGCCTTGCCCGGCCTGCGTATGCTGTGTGGGTTGTATTGGCGTAGGGCTTTGATTATCCTGTTCCCGATGCTGACTGCTTGGTTCCTCGCTTGCTGCAATAACCGTTTTTGCGGCATCTGGGAAATCTTCCAGCCAGATCTGATCGTCAATCACAGAGCGAATGCTCAAATCCATCTTTTTAGTCAACTCCTGAACCTTGCTCTGAAAGGAAGTATGTACATCCCGCTCCTCTTGATCGGAATCTTCTTCATTCGCACGCCGGCGGGATGAGGCCTTGTCATATCTGATCCTCTTCTCGTACGCAACGTCATTCAAATCTCCAGTGGTTTGAGTTATTTGCTCGATAGCAAGAGTGAGGTTATCAGAGAGTTTAGTGGATTTGGCATGGGTTTGGAAGAGTTGAGACAAGGCAGTCTGTGCCGTTGCACTGAGAGGAAGCTCAAGTGCTTGTGGCACGAAAGGGGTCGCGGATGGTACTGGAGATGACACATGTTGAGAGCGAGAATCGCGAATCCGCCTTGAAGCGACGGACATGTTAGAGATACAGTGTTGTGGGTTGAAGAGTCGTTGAGCGTGGATAGATCCAGACTCAGTCGCGAGCTGTGATCACGCCAAAATAACGACGCCGGGCTTCACGCGTTACACTTTACGCGTTGGTGGAGGAGGTGTTTACAGGAAGGTCTTCCGACCAGAGAAATGAAATCTAATGACTAGGCCGTCGTCAAAATGACCATATAAAGGCGGCCACCAGACTAAGGTTTTTGAAGCTGACTTTTGAAATCAATTCCCCCATAGCCGCTGCCTGGCACTGAGCGTAGTCTCTATCCTACCCAGCATTCCTCGGAGTCGGACCTCGCGATAACTGGTCCAACATCATTGATCGTGCACGTTGACCTCTCACTGCTATCTCATGACCATTGAGATCTTCGCCGCGATGCATATCATCGACGTATTCGCATCTGTCCAAGGCTCGGCGGTCTTGGTTGCCACGGCTTTTCAACTCCATATCCGCTGCGAGGCGCTCTTGAGGCTGATTCCTGCGCCACGCCACTGCTAGGCAGATATGTTTTGGGCTAGGTATTCAAACGAAAGCATGCATCTTCCCCGCAGAATCGATCAACACTGAAGGTGATCAGCAATTCTATAGATTTATGTTTCTATTACTGGAACAATACTGCAGATTGGAATTATTCCATGCATTTGTTTCGAGAAGATTGAGTGGTGGATATCGTATTCGCATCAGACACCTTCGATGTGACCCGATGACTTCTTGCAATTCATGGGTGGGTGTCAATATGAGCACACGCCTATATAGATTGGCATTTTTCTCATGCCTTGAGCCAACGGAGCCCACCAGATTCAATCCAAACAATACTTAAACTTAGTCTCACTATGCTCACCTATCTCAGTCTTGCACTGCTCCTCCTTTCCCCTTGTCAGTCCGCGGGTCTGAAGCCTCGTTGCAGATACAGATACGGAGATTCTGGTTGGCCTGACGAGCAAACCTGGAAAGAGTTCAATTCCACGATTTCTGGTCGCCTTGTCCGCACATTCCCATCCGCAGCCGTCTGCCACAACGCCGAGTTTGACAGTGAACAGTGCACCGAAGCCAAGGAAGAATGGGACGATAGCTTCTGGCGAACCAATCAAACCGGTGCCTATACTGCGATAGCATGGGAGTTGGGCGATGGGCAATGCTTCATCAATTCTTCTCGAAGTGATCCTTGCGACCAAGGACTAGGTCAGTATCGATATCAGAGTTCTCCGGCAGTCATGTTAAGAAGTTGTAACAGTTCCACACTACTCAGTAGCTGCCCAGACTATTGAAGATATCCAGGCTGCAGTCAAGTTTGCAAGTGAGAAGGACTTGTACCTCGTGGTGAAAAACACGGGCCACGATCAGTGAGAGATAACTCACTAGAGCGCCTTAAAACCACATTGCTAACAACAGCTACAGCCTCGGACGCTCGAGTGGTGCCGGGGCTCTCTCCATTTGGACCCACAATCTCAAAGGCAGAGAATGGAGTGACAACTACGTCGTGGAAGGTGCCCCAAAAGGCACTGATGGCATCCCAGCGGTCACACTTCAAGCTGGGGAGCAATGGATTGGTAAGTCTTACGGAAAGATTATCTTTGATAAGTACGCTTATACTCACCTGGTAGACGTATACGAAGCCGCTGCTCAACAGGGTGCAATTGTTGTCGGTGGCCACGCGCGGACTGTTGGCGCAGCTGGAGGATGGCTCACAGGAGGTGGCCATTCTGCTTGGTCGAACCTGTATGGCCTTGGTGTAGACAGTGAGTATTTGCCTAGGGTTGGTAACATCACCTAACATATCCTGCTCTTAGATGTCCTACAAATAAGTCTCGTTGATTCTCAAGGCAAGCACAAAGTTCTCAATCAATACACAGATCCCGACTACTTTTGGGCTATCAGAGGCGGTGGTGGCAGTGCATGGGGAGTATGTCGTTGATCATGCTCATCGTGTAAGTGGCGAGACGCTAACGAGTTTGCAGGTTGTTACCTCTGTAACATACAAAACACATCCTGAGCCTCCGACTGGCATTCAAGTCGCTTTCATCCAGATCAATGCCACCACCGAGACCAGCCTGAGACCAGTCTGGGAGAAGTCATTGGGCGCAATTGTCAATATGACCGACGCCGGGTACACAGGATATGCACTGCTTGATGGTGGCTTTAGTGGCATCTTTGTGCGACCCGGTGGCAGCGAAGAAGACTTAGAACGTGGTTTAAGTGGATTCAGCGGCGTGGCTAAGATTCCCGGGGCTAGTGCCGCCTTCTTCAATGTCACGTATCCACGTTGGATCAACTATACCAACGACTTCCTGTCAGATCCAAACATCGCTCAGAATGTCATGGATGCTTCGAGGCTTTTGACCCCGGACATAGCGCTCAACCAGGCAGACCAAGTTGTCGATCTTATCTTCGAGGTTGGTGTTGAACATGCTCCAAGTTTCAACTTCGGTAAGTCCACTTTCGGCCCTGATCGCCAATGTTCATAACCGTAGTAACGCTTGCTCCACGCGTAGTTGGCCACGTTCATTCGGAAGGACGTGAGGACACTTCCGTACATCCCGCATGGAATGAGGGTCGAGGAGTTCTTAGCTTTGGTGTCAACTGGAACGATACTGCTCCAGAAAGCGAGAAGAAAGCAAAGAAAGAGCAGCTTGTGCATATCAGCGAGCGATGGGATGAGATCGCGGGCCCGGACGGAGGGACTTACGTTAATGAAGCGAACCCGTGCGCATATCCCTCCCTGTGCCGATTTGGCGAAGCAGAATGCTAATGCTATTTCGAATGCAGGTACGAACCAAATTGGCAGCGTGTCTTTTGGGGTTCAAACTATGAGCGACTGCTCAAGATAAAGCGAACGGTTGATCCAAGTAATCTTTTTGTCTGCAATAGATGTGTTGGGACAGATGTTGTCTATGAGCCATAGGACATGTACAAACGCTGGCAAAGCTAGGAAACTTGGCATCCATGGCCGCACTTTCGCATTTTTGGACGGAGAATTTTCGGTTTCGTATCGCAGATAGATTGAATTTGTAGTGGAAGTCTGAGTACAGATATACAAAGCGATATCATTTGATGTTTTCAACAGCTTGGCCTGTTAAATATTGATCCGTGGCTTGTGTACATGAAGCAAATCAGACAGGGCGGCCTCTTCACTTCGAATGCCACCCAGCTAGCGTGCCTACTTCGTCTCCAAGGGCTGTCTGTGACCGTGAATGTTGTTATCAACAAGAGAAAGGAGTCTGTGGAAGCAAGACTCAGATCTCACAGCCTTGGATGAACTTAAGGCGGCAGCAAACTCCGAAGCAAAATGGGCGAATCATGAACCAGCTTTTCTCAAGCCTTGGCATGGCTCGAACATCTGAAAATCATTTGATTATGATGGTACTGTAGTAGCCAAACATTGTACAAAATGTCCAATCGTTCAATTGGAATCCACAGGATCAGAAGATGTGATCTCTAGGCTTCGTTGATTTCGCCTTTTTCCATTGGATGCCCCAGGACCGCAGGCACAGCTGTCACCCGCGAATTGCCTGCTCAAGAAATTGAATTCATTACCGTCATAATATTCCACCTTACAACGCCAACGAGCAGATGCTGCTGTTCAGAGAGGTGCCCTACATATCACCAGATATGTCGACTTTCACTCATCAAGGTTTGACTGCCACCCACCGTTCATGTCGAAGCCAAGGACAAATGATGACCGCACCCACCGAAATGCTGGTGGGCTCCTCATCAACTTTCATCATCGATGAACAAGTTGGTGCTGACGAGACCGATGGCAAGCCGGGAGCCGTCATGGTGGGATCTGGAACATGACTGCCTCCTGGAGACCCTGATAAGCCAACATGTCGGTTGAGGCTTGTCCTCTGATTTCGTCCTCACTTGCACACTGCTTGATGTCTTGATATCTGGACTTGACCTACACAGTGCCAACACTCTCAAGTGCCTTTACCTCATCTTTGCCTCTCTCAAAGCTCCCTCCGGCTCTTTCCTTTGATGTCAAGCTTGACCCAAGTTTTCGCATTTGCAAAGCGACAGCCTCTTTCGTGCTCTACCGATCTGCAACTTCCTAAGCATGACCAAGTCTTATATTTCGCTCACGGACAAGCTTCTTCTAAGTGGCCCGGCTTCCCGTCGCATTCCATTCGCTTTGATAGTGGTCGACCTGTCTTATTTACCGTCACTCTTCCCTTGAGCGGCTCATTACCACAGGACCACTTATTTCTTCAACCCTTTGGTTTAGACGTCCATTATACGTGGTGATGTGAACTCTGGTAACTTATCTTCACCTCTGATCTGCCGATAAATTCTTGGTCTGGTGATACAAAGGCCATGTTTAGGCACCATTGACTTCGGATATCGTCGGATCTCTCAAGTGTTACTCTAGTCATCCTAGCGCTCTTCGTCCATCCGTCAACATGGGTGCAAACGCTTCAAAGATTGACGATGCACTTGAGCGTCTCTATGAGGGTACGACCAGTACTCCCTCACTCACAAGGCCCCCGGCTTGCGTCGATAAGCGACATGCTTCAAGTCGTCATTCACCGCACAATATGATCCTTGCACCATCGGATGCTGGTCCCCCGAAATGTTGCCGATTACCTCCAATCGAAAGCTACGAGACTGTAAAAGCGCAAATAGCTCAGATCACCCGGTGGGATCTTGTCGATTCTTCCGAGGACCTGTGGCAATCTGCTCAATATCAGGAACGCAGTGCAGCATTCTCCCCGTCACCGTCCTTTACGCCGAACATGGCTTCTCACCTGAAGATTTTCCAAAAGCCCGACGATGCACCGACATCAAGTGGGAGACAAGTTCCTAAAAGACACCAGTCCCAGTCAGGGATTCAAGCTTCGAAGAAGAGAAGACTCATACTTGCTCCCATGGCTAGTCAGATTGTAAGTCAGCGAGCGGAAACGAAACTCGAATCACTGGTACAACCGGAGTTGCAGCCCTTACCGAACCATGTTATTATGGATTGTGATTATGAGGATGAAGGATATGACTCCTTTACGGTGTCACCTACAGATTTTGCTGCTACTGTTGATTCGGCCTGTTCGAGTGGGGAAGGGGAAGTAGACTTGGTGAAATTGCTCGCCAATCTACACCAACTACGCGAGAGACCGGTAACCGAAGAATTAAATATTGAAGACAGTGTTCAGACAGCGACGCACCTGAAAGCGCGAGAGGAGCAAGCTGGGGCGGAACGCAGCAGATTGTTGAGAGAGCGTGCCTTGAACCGACATAGATCACAGGCACTTCCTCCTGAGCCATCAGATGAAGGACCCTTGACGTGCCAGAGACTAGAGATGCTGAATGCCAAGCCCACAGATGAGGACGGCCCTCTAGACGTTGAGCAGCACATTGTGCAGCAAAGCAGACGGGCAGATGCGGAGTGCCGCATACGGGAGAAAGAGCGCGCCTTGATACGCCAGCGATCAGAGGCTGTATCCCCAGAGCCCTTGAATGAGGACAGCGATCGAGGCTCTCAACATCGAAACAAGCAACCAGAGCGAGCAAGTGCGGAGCGACGTACGATTATGAGAGAGCGAGCCATAAAGCGCCAGAGATCCGAGGCACTATCCAACGATGCCGCCTTGAATGAAGGCAACTTAATCTCTTCCCCAATGTCATCGGATAACCAGACTAACCAAAGACCTAAATCGAAGCACTCCACTCGCCATGATACAAGCCAGAAAATTCCGAACCGATTATCTGGGCTCGAGATGCTCGCCTTGAGAAAGAGCCGCCATGACTATTGGGCGATTGCGGACCATAGGGGCGCCTCAAGAGCGCCCATGGGCTCTCAAACCCAGGCCGAAGATGAATTAAATTGCACCATACTGGGAATGAAGGCGGAAGCCACAAGCTCGCCAGAAAGATCGACTTTTGAGATTCAAAGTCAACGTTCACAAGATAATCGCCGCTCCCGCGCAGAGCGTCAGCATCACGATATCAACGAAGCGCCTGATATCCGGCCTAGCTGTACTTCGGTTCCCTCTCTGGCTAAAACTAGTTTGACTCTGCCAAGAAACTTTGATACCCTTCCAGAAGAGGCACAATCGATCATTGTTCAGCACGAGAAGGCAAAGGAGAGGAAGCGAGACCTTGAAACAATCGATCGAGTTACAACAAGTATCGCTCGTCTACGCTGTATTGGTCTTTTCACACCTCAAGACGAAAGGGAACTCGCTGAAGTGCACCGCTTTATAAAATTGGTTCTCCGCGAAAATCAATACGGCAAATTAGCGCGGAAGAGGGTTCAAGACATTCGTTGTAAAATCGATCAGAGAGCGAAACCCTATGATATGCCGACCCAAAACGAGATACAGCGATGGCGTGATAGTCTATTCGACGCGAACGACATCACCCTACTCACGGAGAACCTGTCGCAAGTTGAGGAGCGGATTTCGGAACTGGCTGGCGCACGGAATGTGACAAAGAACCATCGGCAAACACGACAAAAGAGAAAGGCTGTCACCTTCAATCTGGCCTCCGGAGACGCAGCCCCAACATCGAATCGCGCATCAAAGACTCGCAGACCGGAAATCAGAACACTTGGAAATCGTCGAACTAGTCAATTCGCGTCCCAGGAGAAGCAGATGGAGCTGATCAGGCAAAGGCTTTCTGAATTTGACGCCCGTCTCTCTGAGGGTCGAAATCAAGGTTTGGAGGACGAAGCCGACGTCTCTCCCGAAAATGGATCTGACAACGAGTCTACTGTAAGCGAGGATATCAGTGGCGTCGAGTATTATCGGTATGTGACTCCTCGCCACAGTGATAGTTCCAAAGACGGCCACCACACTGAGCTCGGGAACCCTCAGCAACGCCAAGGACTGCCGGCTCCCTCGCATGGGACTCAGCAATTTGATTCTCGACTTCTAGAAGAAATGCGAGAGAAGCAGAGGCAATTGGACCGCCAAACAGGATGTGAGACGGGCCCCGCAGAAGCCGGGGCGAGCGATGCAGGCGACATTTCCAGTTCGGGTGAAGAAGATTACGAAGACGGAGGTGAAGACGAGGACCCGAAACAGCTTTTCCAGTATACTGTCTGGGGAACATTCTGCGGAGTTGAAAATTACACCGACAACGACGAGTATCGTTTCCTGACGACGTACAGGCTGGAATTCGCCACTCGAAAGGTCAGCGAGTGTGTTGTTGAGTTCCAGAGCTTTTACACCAAGAGCGGGATTGGAACTGATCGGTGGTCTCTGGAAATTGAGTTCGACAATGGCCTCATGGATCAGCGTGTCCATCTCGGCCCAGATGCGGAAGTGGAAGCACGATTCTTCGTGACCAAGAAAGTTGTTGATCTGGGTACGAGAGCGTATCGGCGAGCCAGGGCCCAGAATGTCGCAGTTCGAGACGCCATCTACACTGTGGAGTGGGAACATACTTTGGTACCAGTGCGGGAACAGCATGAAACAGAGGGGCGAGGGGAGGAAGATGATCTCTTCGGCGAAGACACTTCCAGATCGTGTCCAGCCTCATTTGAGCCGACGACCACCACGATCCCCAGCTCACAATTAGTGTACTATAATGACGTCGCCTCGGCGAATCGCCAGGCCATGCGCATTTACCTCGATTGGCACTTTCGATTTCTACCAGGCCTGGAAAACGAATACTGGAGACGTCTGGAATACGAGAATGCCGAAGAACAGCTCAGGAGACTGGGCGATTGGGGCCTTTGGTCCCGAGAAGACACCATGGAGGCTGAGATGGAGGAAGGGGAGGCGGAGGCGGAGGCGGGGGAGGACGACGAAGACGAAGAAGATAATGATGGTGATAGCCAGAGTGACCATGATGCCACCGAGAATGTGGACAGTCACAAAGGGCAAGAAGAGCAAGCCCTCTCAGAATCAAAGGACCCCCGGGGCCAAAGAGAAGAAACCCACGATGAGAACAAGGAAGGGGAGAAGGAAAGACATAAGACCAAGGCCGGCAGCGATGCCATATCCGGACGGAAACGAAAGAGGGTGCGAGAATCGTTCAAAGTCTGGGTGAGGAAAGCACAGGTGTTTGGGCCAGGCAATTGATATGAATATTTGGCTTTTATCTTCTCGCCTCCCGTCTGGGATTTGACCAGGGAGGGAACGCACCTTTTGGCTTTTGGAAATTCGGCATTTTTGGAAATAGGAAGAACAAGAATAACAATAAGAGACGGTGTTGCTTACCATGCAGATCGGCTGCGCGGCGGTGCCACGATGTGAGATAGAGCGCGCGAGGCTGAGCCTGAGCCTGAGGGCCAGGACTCGGGTGCGCGGGCTTCTGTTACGGGGCTCCTATTTACTACTGTTGTCTGTACCTCGTTCACCGGTTTATGTGAATCGATGGTAGTCTCTCTACGGCTGAGCAGAGTGTGGAAGGGACGGCGAACGGGGGGGAACGCTGCAGAGGTCGATGACGGCGATCCACGCCAGCCTGGTGGATGGATAGGTGGATGGTCACAACGGCACTGTGCATGTTTCGTGCGGGAATTCGCTCAGGAAGCTGGAAGATGTCTCTCTTTCGCTGGATATCCGAAAAGATGTCAAATGAACTTTGACTCTTTCGTTGCTGCTGCTGCTGGGAAGGACTTATCTTTTACAGAGAGAGGATGGTGTTTCATGGTAGGAAGATTCGCCAGGTTGAGTGATGCTGCTGTTTCTGACTTGCTGAGAGACGAGACTCAAACAGTATGGCCATCTCTCTCTGGTAACCCGTAGCTGGTAACAGAACCTGCGGGCGGACCTACTAGGTCGTCCAAGCTCTTCAGGGGCGGTGCAGATGAACGCAAGAGGTGCACGCGTGCAACGACAGGCAGATCCAGAATGGCACCGTGACATGCAGGCCTGCAACTGAGACATGCTCTGCGTAAGTCTTGGTCGATGGGGCTCGAACCCGATCGATCATTCTGGTGGGCAGAAGTTCGAGTAGCGGCCTAGGGCGGAAAGAAGAATCGATGCGCAGTCAACTTGGTCCCCTGGCGCCAAAGTGAGGGGGTTTCCATGTTAAGTTTCAGTTTTCCAGGCCTGAATCGAGGAAGAGGGATGAATGTTGCAAGGACTTGTGACAGTGCTAGCAGATATGCAGCGGTCTGAGCCTTCGAGCTTGCCAGCTCCAGACTAGCAAGCCGACAGGAGGCCTTTGCAGCGCATGCCCAGGAGTAAGCAAGACCTTGACATTCCTCAATCCCGGCACGACTGCCATTCCTTGGGCATGATAGAAGGCTGCGGTATCGAGCCACGATGTGTGGACACGTCAACAGCAATCTAGAACGGAATAGCAACATTCCTTCCTGCGGGTTGGGCAAGCTAGAGCACATCATCTCCGCAATTCAGCCAGCGCAAGCACCATTTGCTGCTGCGGGATGCAGGGTGACCCAGATCTACCCGTCAAACCTGGGGGAAACAATCTTTCAACCGGGTGAAAGAATTGAGTAATCGAATCCGAGATGATCTGGCGGTTAACTCCTACCTGCGGTCGCCAGCAGGAGCTGGCAGCAGTAATAGAAATTCTAATCATTAGAAGAGAAAAACGATAAGGAAGGTCAGATAACCATACCTAAGATTGGGAGGAAATCTGGTGAATGCTGCGCTGCAGGTGGCATTAGCGCCCTTGATACGAAGATGCAACGGAGGACAGATCAATTAGGCAAGTTGAAGGGACGAGCGAGTGAGCAAGATGGCAAGCTCGTCACACATGGCTTACAACAATAGACTTCGCCGATTCCTAGAACGAATGTCAGAAATGACATTGAGATTGACGAGGTTGTTCCAGCTAGATGTGCTGTCGGGCATGGCCGATCAATGGCTGTTGGATGTGGTCGAGGAGAGGCAATTCCCTCCGAGCCAAATGAACGGGCTGTGATGGAAAGCAAAGCGGCCATGATTACATGGTTTGAAGTCTGAACCACCTCATCGACGATCAAGATCATCTCGAATCGAGAAGTGTTGAGGAGAAGCGGTTGACAGCGACTCCAGCACTGTTGCCTTGGAAGGCCTTCACTTCCGCGGAAGGTGCCGACAGAATAGGGCAGGACAGGATTGTGCAAGCAAGAATGGGAAATCTGGAGGACTCCACTTATCATTCTCGTTCACGATTCATGATCGTGGGGATACATATGACAATTGAATTGATGCAATGAGCTCGAACCCAGACTCACACCCACAATTAACTCCAATTTGGAGCTGCAGGGAGGGTTCCTGGGGATCTCCAGAGCCAGGGGCGTATGCATCTCAAGGCCGGGAGATGGCCGACAGTCCGCGGTTGCCAGAGAGCCTGAGAATGGAGGACGTCCCTGTGAGGCTGGTGGAGATGATGTGGTGTTGTGCAGTCAATGACAGTGAAGAGACAGCGAGAAAAGAGAAAAGAAGGGACGAGAAGGAGACTTTCACATGTCACGACCGAATATGGATAGTAATTCTCGTTCTCGGCGCAGACCAAGAGGGAAAGAGCGGGGCAGGGCTGCACCCCGCCATGCGCGGCACCCTGCAATTCATCGACAAGGGACAAATTCCCAACATTTTTCGAAGGCAGACCTGAGGCCTGAGAAAGAAAGACAATGGCATCGGCGGGAGCTTAACGCTTGATCCCGTAGGGTTGGCAGTCGTGTGTAGGCTCTGTCCTCGTTAGGTTGGGGTGAGTCGTGAGTCGTGAGCCGTGAGTCGTGAGCCGTGACACGAAGCATGTGCAACGGTGTCGATGAGTGGAGGGGGAAATTCGTTGCATTTGAGGTGGCGGGGACCTCGTAAATTGGCATCTGCTGCCTCCGACGAGCGACGGCGTCAACCACGGGCGTGGTGGCACCCGACAACGGCAGATTCTGCCCCAAGAAGGTGGGTCGGGAAACCCAAAACATATAACATGGCGCCAGAGTGGCTTGCATAAGCCTGAGCATCACGATGCCACAGCAGGGTTATACGGAGTGGGCTTATGTATACGGAGTAGCAAGAGGGCGCCATAGTCGAACAACTGAGGCGGTGGGGACATTCGAAGAGATGAAATAGCCAGGCCCAAGGCTGGCTAGAACATCGGGATACATGCAATGCACGGGGGGGGAGGGGCAAAGGAGGGTTGACGGCTAGTGGTAATCCTTGGCTGGGCTGCTGCTCATGTATGGAGGATTGCTGGTGACTGAAGGATCCACGTATGTACGAGATAGAGCGACCAGGCGGTTATTCACACACGTTGGGCATCTGAGACGTCGAATGTGTGGGCCTCTGGCTGCCAAAAGTCGTGAGGCGTGAGTCGTGTGGAGTGCATTGCATCCAGGTGGTCGGAGATGCACACACGGCATACACCGCCTCCCTGTGATTTCGAGGCATGAGAGTCGAGATCCAGTGCTGGCCTGTGGTTCGAATCTCATGTGGAGATGGCTGCGCAACACAACAGGCATGTCTGGCCCATGCAGGCAAGAGAGGATGGGCCTGAATGTGGGAACCGGGCGACCTGGAGGGAGACCTGGAGGGAGACCTGGAGGGAGACCTGGAGGGAGACCTGGAGATGTTGAACGTATCGTACATACGAGGCATGTAGGGTTGCCGCGATCTGGAGAAAGTAGAGAGATAGAGACGTGGAGAGGTGGCGAGATGGCGAGATGGAGGTGCCCATGGGAGCATCAGCCAGAATCCGCATTACAACGATCGCTACAACTGCGATACATACCACAGCCCTACCGTCCTCGCACTGGCAGCACAAAGACGTTGGGGAAGTTGCCATCGTCCTACACACGCGCGCCACATCGATATTGTCCGGCTGCAATGGCGCAATCAACCGTCGATTTGCCACAACGACACTCAAGGAAGGGCCTTGCGGTCGCTTGCACATTGTTGCTTTCGCACAAACCCTGCTGGCGCAGCGCAGCGCAGTGCAGTCAAGCCACAGCGGAGAATAGGGCATTATTTAATATTATCGCCGTGAGGGCGGCGGGACGTCTCGACTTGTTGAGAAATTAGACACCGCCGTGTGGCAAATACGGACCGAGTCTGGAGTATTCCTCGCAGTCAGTCAACCGAGCCCAGCAGTGGTCGGCAGCATCTCGCACCCCTTGGGTGGCGGTTTGAGGGCCGTGACTCTTGAGTCATGACTGTTGACTCACCCGACACACTCATACACGCGCACACGCGCACACTCATACACGATACACGTGCCATGCCGTTCCTGCCGTGCTCAATCAACCTCAACCCTCCCTCAAGTCATGTGATCTGATATCAAAAGCTTCACATGCCCGTGCTTCAAGGAAAACCACCTTCCACACCGAAGTCTTCACCCGCCGCTATCTCTAGCGTCTTCCTGCTTCTGAACTGGCAGTGATTATGTCGATGCGTTGGCCAGTCCCGCCATCGCAATCTCCATGCAACCCTCCGTCGCCTCTGTCGAAACGCTTTAGCGATATCCTCCAGCACCGTCCAGATTCTGATATCCGCCTGCACTTACGAGTACTGACGTGGAGACCCCCCCCCAGCACGCCTGCGGTGGAAACACCTTCAAGGATCACTCGGGCACTAAGGGTCGAGCTGATCAATCGTCAAACGAGACATACCTCCTACTCATTGTGAGCGTCAGGGCCCCCGGCCTGGAGCCAGGGCCGATCACTGCTGATCCCGCCGCAGGGTCTCTCGACAACGTCTCCTGCCGCTGCGGTTCTCGCAAATCCCTTTGCCGACCGCAGGACCCTGAACCTTTCAACGCGTCCCATTCCGGTCATTGCCGTAATGTGAAAATGCTTCGACATTTTTACATTCCATCAGGAGACGCCAACTGGACGTCCAAGAGCAAACTTCAAATGCACTCCACGCACAGATACGGAGACGGAGTATTCGTTGCATCCAAGAAGCGGGGGCCTGACCTGCTCCACTGTTCGTAGCAAGCCTGTACGAGTAGGTGTAGCCAGGTCATCCCCGCGAGCAGCTTCTGATCGTGGTCAATTGCTTGACTTAGCAGCAACACATGCAAGCCACAGCTCAAGGTCCATGTGGCCAAGCCAATGGCTGCTTTTGACCTGAGGGGTCGGTCTTGTGAAGCATCACCAGGAGGACATTGACAGTTGAGTTCG